CTTAGAGGGATAGCTTTCAGTTTTTCACCATTGAGGATGATATTAGCTGTGGGTTTGTCATATATGGCCTTTATTATGTTGAGGTACTTTCCTTGTATACCCATTTTATTCAGAGTTTTTATCATAAATGGATGCTGTATCTTGTCAAATGCTTTCTCTGCATCTATTGAGATGATAAACAGAGTTTTTGATAAACTGAGTTTTTGATAAAACTACTTTATAGATAACATTGTCATACCCCCTGTTGCATCACATCAGGAGGATACACCATTTTAGTTTTTTCTGTTTTGTGATATTAAGATTGATCTGTGGATTCAGATATTGTCGGCCTGATCCATCCTTTATAAGGTTTCCTGTCAGCTTTCACCTAATAATTTTAGCAATGCATATTTTAGTTGGGTTTTCAAAATGGTTCTATATTAAGCCTAACATTTATTTTTCATTTATTAGCAGTATACTTCTATTAAGAAGAACTTTCACTCATCAACTGTTTAGTTATACTGAGGTTCAATTTGTACAAGGAAGGCAGGATAAATGCTTCTTTTCCCTGTTTACTGATTTTTGGAATAATAAGTTTGTTCTCTCTCCTCTGGTGAATTGTTGTATCATTATAAACCTAGATTTATAAATATTTGATGTGTTTTAATCCACTGTAGTTATTCTTATTGATGCTCAAAGTGTCTCGTCTTTGGCTGGTAGGAGCCTTTTTAAGCTGGCTCCTGAGACCTTTTGACATGACCCTGTAGTCTGACAGTTTTCAGTATTTTTCTTATTCTTGAAATTATCTTGATTTAAGCTACTTAAAAGTGACTTGTCCTTTTTTAAAACTTAGAATAATAAAGCCTCTCTTGGAAAAGATTATTTTCTTATCAACAGAGAGTCAGTATTCCACTGTGGTCAATCCAGAAACTTCTTTATTCTAAGTCCCTTCCTGGTACCTGGAGAGGCAACCCTGTGTAATACAAAATTTTAAGAGACCTAGCTTAACTTGAATTAACTCTTAAATTTGACTATCAGTAACACAATGTGGGTTGCAGAATATAGTTGGGATTAAAAATGGAGTTTTACTCTAGTTTTATAATTTGATTTCTCTTAGTTTCCAAGACTCTTTGTTCTATATTTGGAAAAAATGTTAAGTTTGCTGTTTAATAAGAGTTTATTTTGGACAATTTTTGAGTAATGCTTTTAAATTTTTTTCTTAATTTTTAATTTTTAAAAATTTATTGTGCTGAGCAGTGCTTTTTTATTACAGGTGCTGGTCGGATTGAATTATGTTCTGGCTTATTGGAAGGAGGAACCACACCCAGCATGGGTAAGTGTCCATTTTTCAGATTTTCTGATTTTCTCATAGGAGTTGATAGAGCCTGGAGACAATTGATAATCTGTTTCATTGGGATCCTCTGCTAATGTAACTAACAAGTTAATTATGCTATGGATATTGTATCCGTTAGAAATGCTTATGGTTGTAAATAAACTTGTCTGTCAAAGATGTGATCAAATAGATGTTTTTTTCCTCATACATCAAAAAGTTGAGAGATAGGTAGTTGCTGTAATATTGGTTCAATTTCTCTGTAGTAACATCAAGGACCAGGGTTTTTTTTATCTTTCATCTGACATCATGAGTATATTGACTTTTGTCTTCATTTCTCCCCTCCTGATGTTTGTGCTGTTGTCACACATTTTACTTCTACATATGTTAAAAACACCACACTACATTGTTATTATTTTTGTTTGAGTCAATTATCTTTTAAAGAAATTGAAATAATAAGAAAACAATCATATATTTACCCATGTGTAGTTACCATTTCTGATGCTCTTCATTCCTATGTGTAGATCTATATTTCCATCTGGTTTCATTTTCCTTCTGCCTGAAGTAATTCATTTAACATTTTTTGTAGTATAAGTGTGCTGGTGATGAATTCTTTCAACTTTTATATGTCTGAAAAGATCTTTCCCTATTTTTGAAAGATATTTTTGCTGGATGTAGAATTTTAGGTTGAAAGTTTTTTTGCTTTCATTACTTTAAAGATGTTTCTCCACTGTCTTCTTGCTTGTTTGTTTCTGACAAGAAATCTGCTATCATCGATACCTTTGTTCTTTTCTGTGTAATGTGTCTCTTTTCTCTGGTTGCTTTTAAGATTATTTTCTTTATTTTTGGTTTTGAGCAATTTGATTATGATGTACCTGAGTGTAGTTTTCTTCATGTTTCCTTTTTTTTTTTTCTGGTGAGGAAGATTAGCCCTGAGCTAACATCTGTTGCCAATCCTCCTCTTTTTGCTGAGGAAGTCTGGCCCTGGGCTAACATTGTGCCCATCTTCCTCTACTTTATATGGGACGCCGCCACCGCATGGCTTGACAAGCGGTGCCTCGGTGCACACCCGGGATCCAAACCCGGGCTGCCAGCAGTGGAGCACGCGCACTTAACTGCTGTGCCACCAGGCTGGCCCCTCTTCGTGTTTCTTAGACTTGTGCATTTATAGTTTTCCTCACATTTGGAAAATTTTCCACATTCAATGTCTTCCACTCCCTCCTTCAGAGACTTCAATTATTCTTATATTAGGCTGCTTGAAGTTGTTCCACAACTCACTGATAGAACTACTTTTTTTTTTTAGTCTCCTTTTTCTGTTTCATTTTGCATAGACCCTATTGCTTTGTTTTCAAGCTTACAAATCTTTTCTCTGCAGTGTCTGATTGCTGTTAATCCCACCTACTGTATTTTTTCTCTCACACATTGTGGTTTTCATCTCTAGAAGTTTGAGTCTGTTGTTATATCTCCTATGTCACTTCTTAACTTTTTTGAACATATGGAATAAACTTATAATAGCTATTTTAATGACTTGGCTGCTAATTCTAACATCTGTATCAGTTCTAGGTGGGTTTCATTTGATTATTTCATTGCCTCATGATGTGTCTTATTTTCCTACCTGATAATTTTTTATTGAGTGAAAGACATTATGAATTTTACTTTGTTGAGTACTGGATATTTTTGTATTCCTGTAAATATTCTTGAGCAGTTAGGTTACTTGGAAACAGTTTGTCCCTTTTGGGTCTTGCTTTTAAAATCTGTTAAGCGGATCTGGAATAGTGGTCAGTCTAGAGCTAATTATTCCCCCCTACTGAGGTGAGACCCTTCTGTGTACTCTACAGAGTACATAGGGCACTTACCCAGTGCCCTATGAATCTTGAAGTTCTCCTGTCTGGCTAGTGGGAACAGGCGTTATTCCTGACTTGGTGTGAATGACAAGCACTATTTCTTCTAATCCTTTTCAGTGGATCTTTCCTTGGCCTTGTCTAGTTTCCTCACATACATTCACTGATCAGTACTCAGCTGAATGTTAGAGGGGGGTTCTCTGTAGATCTCCAGAGTTCTCTTTCTCTCCTCCCTGGTACTCTCTCCTGTGAACTCTAGCCTGGACTCTCAGCTTTGTCTCCTCAACTCAGAGTATTCTCTGGGCTCCGCTTGGGTTCCCCCTCCCTGTGCTGTGGCCTCTCTCATGGTAATAATCAGGGTCAATCATAGACCTAGCCTCATTTGTTTCCCATCTTTCAGGCATCATTGTCCTTTGTTGCTTGATATCTAGTGTCTTACAAATCATTGTTTCATATATTTTGTCTGTTTTTTGGTTATTACAGGTGGAAGGGCAAATCCAGTCCCTGTTACTCTGTCTTGATCAAAAGCAGAAGTCCCTATATGAATTTTTGACTCCTGTATGTTACTCTGAGGTTGATGATAATATTATTTAGTATGAAAGGTTTTGTTTTTTTTTTTTTTAGAAGAGAAAAGCACTTGCTAGCATTTAATGAATCTCCCTCCATGTAGCTTCAAGCTACCAGGACACAGGCCCCCCCAACACCCTTAATCTTCTCCTCAGCTATTCTGCTGAAGAATTTGGCCTTCACGATGACAGGCTGCTTGGGGAGCTTTCCCTTTCCCAAAACTTTGTAGTAGCCGGATCGCACCACATCAATGATAGGAGCAGCTCCAGTCTTGTTCTTGGCAGCATTTACCCATGTCTGCTCACTGACCAAGGTCCACAGTTTATCAAGGTTGACAGTTGGGCAGAAGCTCTGGTTCCTCTTTAAGTGGTAATGCCTCATACCCACTTTCCCAAAGTAACCTGGGTGATATTTGTCAAAGTTGATCCTGTGATGATGCAGGCCACCAGCATTACCCCTGCCTCCCGGGTGCTTCCGGTGCTTGCCGATGCGGCCGTGGCCGTGGCTCACGTGGCCCCGAAGTTTCCGGGTCTTCCTCAGTCTGGACGGCATGTTGGCGGCCGAGACGAAAAAGGGCAGTATGAAAGGTTTATTTCATACTATTTCATACATATTTCTTTGGAATCTTCTCACTAAAGGAGGGCATTCCCTGGCCATTCTGTGAAATCCTTAGAATGTATCTGTAAATTTGAGTGCAATCTGTTTTTTGCAACAGCAATCATGATTCATTGCTTAGTGTCAGGCCTCTTGCTATCCCATGCAAAATTGGGGTTCTTTTTTTTTTTAATTTTTTTTTGGTTTTTATTTATTTATTTTCCCCCCAAAGCCCCAGTAGATAGCTGTAAGTCATAGTTGCACATCCTTCTAGTTGCTGTATGTGGGACACGGCCTCAGCATGGCCAGAGAAGCGGTGCGTCGGTGCGCACCCGGGATCCGAACCCGGGCCACCAGTAGCGAAGCACACGCACTTAACCGCTAAGCCACGGGGCCGGGCCCTGGGGTTCTTTTAACAGGGAAAAAGAAGTAAATTCACGTTGAGTAAACACTAATAGTGATTGCCACAGATCTTATGCTTTTGAGGATTTCTGAGCTAGGCATGAATTGTGTCATGTTTAGGTACTGTTATTCATAGGTCTCGGCATAAAATCACAAATAAGTAGAACTTTGCTCCCTTTTACATGTCTTTTTGTAAAAAGGCTTTGCTAAATGTCTTTGTCCATTAAAGGGTCATAAAACTTTAGAACTATGTAACCATCTCTATAGTAGGTTTAAGTAGAGCTGTAATCAATTAGAAAGGAGAAACCAGATCTTAGGGAATGTACTGGCAGAACATTGAGCCTGGTAGTTATTACACTTTCAAATGTCACATACCAGTAAAAGGATTTTTGTTGAGTCAACTGACAAGTGCTTTTGAAATGCAGTAACTGCCTTCTGTTTTCTAAATTGCTCTTTTTTATCCTTGGTTTTCTTGTTACTTAACTTATACTATTTACACATTTTTCTTCTCAGTATCCTCCTTCCTTTTAGATCTACCTTCTTCGTTTAGATCCTCCTTCTCTGGTTTCCTCAGTCAACTTTTCCTTTTCATGTAGAAGTGATTACACAAGAGCAAATGTAAAAGACCAATAATATTTTAGTGACTTCCTTGAGCTTTTAGCTCAGATTTGAATTTTAATTAGTTTGTTCCCTATTCCTGTAGGTGTCCTTCAAGTAGTGAAGCAATGTGTCCAGATCCCAGTTTTTGTGATGATTCGGCCACGTGGAGGTGATTTTTTATATTCGGATCGTGAAATTGAGGTGATGAAGGCTGACATTCGTCTTGCCAAACTTTATGGTGCTGATGGTTTGGTATTTGGGGCATTGACTGAAGATGGACACGTTGACAAAGAGCTGTGCATGTCCCTTGTGGGTAAGAATTTATATCTGAGACCAAAATGCCTCTAACGCTGATTGCATTTAATACTCCCCATATAGAAAAATGCAATCACAGAACTGACTTTTCAGTCACATCCGCAGGCACTTATACTAACCTATTTTAACAGTAGATATTTAGATGTTTGGGAAAGAGAGTATGTGTGGCATAGCCCTCCTGACTCTCCTCAGTTGCTATAGATCAGATTCTGCTACTGTTCCTGTAGGGTTTAAGGGAAATTTACCCCAAATCCTTTAATTACTGCACCAAAAACTTCAAAAGCTATTTCAGTTGGTGAGGATGGGGAGATGTGGAGAGGACAGAAGCAAACTACCTATATTACCAGGCCAAAGTATTTCTTGAAGATTCTCAGAGGGGTAAGTAATAGATGTAATGCTGCCCTTATAGTTGCCAGATCATATAACTTTTTTTTGGTGCCTCTAAGGGGTAGATGACCTTTTTTTTTTAAATATATGCAGTTTATTGTATGTCAATTTTACCTCAGTAAAGCTGTTAAAAATAAAATAATAGTAATACAAACACACTTTCATATATAAAAATAAGCTCTTTCACAGATGCTAGCCCTGCCTTCACCTCCTGCAGGTCCCTGTCCCTGTGTGTTTGTATCTCTGCCTCTCTTGCTCTCTTGTTATCTCTCTCTGTCTCTCTTGCACCTTCCCTTTGTCGACCTCCATCTCTGTGTTATATCTCTTGTCCATTTCTTGACCTCTCCCTGTATCTGGGTTTCTTTCTGTTTCTGTCTCTGCCGCTCATCATATCTTTTTTTCATTATAAGTCTTTGAAATCTGGTATGACAATTTGTTAAATATGAAAATCAGAGATTAATGGAAACATAGGAGTTTTGAATTTGGAAGGTTGCTATTTCATTATTATTTTAGTTCACTGTCTTTGCTTAGGAGACGAAAAGTATTAAAAAGTGCCATCTAACATGGAGAATTCTGAATATAGAATCAGTGATGATCTCTTCATTCATGTTGTTGTCTGACTTTCTTTTTATAGCGATTTGCCGTCCTCTGCCCGTCACTTTCCACCGAGGTGAGTCATTTCCATTTTAGAAGTTCTATTGAACAGTGTCAGTTTTCTAATTTCACCAAATGCCACGACCTTTTTATGGAACACAATTATATAGTGTTACAGTATTACCAGTTGGTTTCTTTATGCTGATTTCAGGCTAATAGTTTTAAATTTAGAGATAAACAATTTCTGGAAAATATGAAGCTTTAGTTATGAACAGTTGTTAAAAGTAGATGGTGGTGGTGGTGGGATATAATAGAGGGAGAGAGTAAGCATTGCCTACAAGTGCATGTATTTGTCACAGCATTCCAAGCAAGAATCCTGAGATTCATTTTTATTAGATTACCTTAGGTCATGTGCAACCCCCAAAAGAATAAATTACTGTGGCCAGTGAAATGAAATGTACTGCCTGGCTTAAGCCACACGAGACCATTCCTGGAGCTAGGAGTGAGGTCAGCTTTCCCAGATGAATATAAGATTCGTAGGCAGAAAGGGGATGGATATGTGAAGAAGAATTGGATACTATTAGGAAGGAGGAAAGAAGAAGTAGATGCTGGATAGTCAGTGAACAGATGTTCACTACAGTACACAAAATTACTTTACATTATTGATAGCTTGTCTACATCAGACTGATTTCTAAAAAGTATCTGATAATTTCATATTAAAAAAAACTTCCTGACTATAAATCAGATAGTTATAATTTCCATACATTTTTGCCAACCATTGGTAAAATGGAGGAACAAGTGTCAATTTTGCCCTCAGAGGGCAGTGCTATTTATTGCACAGGAAAAGAAAGAAGTCTTCAGTCAATTTTTTTTTGATTTGATGATATGCTTGAGAAATTACTGAAAGTTTTTCTGTACTTTTGAGTAAACATTCAAAGATTAGGATAAAAGTGGACAGTAGCATTTGCAGCCATTAGAGGTAAAGCATTTGTTATCCTTGTTTCTTTTTGAAATGGATAATACCACCAGAAAACTGTTTTCTTGACTTGCTATTTAGCATTACTTCTCATTAACTAGTGCTAACTAAAAGATGTTATATTGCTTAAAAGTCAGAACATTGAGGCTAGCCAACAAAAAAAGTTTTTAAATAAGAAAGTAATTTAATTAGTAAACATTTATCTGAAAAATATATAGTTTAAAATTTGACGTGCCAAATAATTCAAAATAAACCCATCATTTAGAATATATTTTTCTGTTCTTAAACTAAGAAAATCATTTCAAATTCCTGTTCTTTTCCTTCAATAAATTTTACAAAAATATTTTCATGTTTTCAAAATTTTATATTGCCCTGGGTTCCATGTTTTTTTCACTCATGTTTATAATGATAGTATGATAGTGTAATAATCACTGATGAGAAGGTGCTGCCACCAAAAAAAGGAAAATTCTCTGTGGTAGATTTAGCTGCCTCCATGCACCAAAGGGTGAAAGGAAGGGGTCTAGCACCTAATCCACCATAGATTAGAACTTCCGTATCATGTAGCAATACTGAGAACCAAAGCAAAAGTAGTTTTTCTATTTGAGATTCCTAGTGCCACTTTCCTCTCTGAGGAGGAGAGAGGTCTCTTAGAAAGTAGGATGGAATTGAAACCTCATATAGTCTGTTGTAAACAACTGTCCTTATACTATGAGCCTTGAGTATGTGGGGTAAACAGATTAGTACCAAATGTTAGTCAATAATAAGAATGTGAATCAAGGGCTTTTTAGATCTGATGAGTATAATGTTTCATTCTGCTTGTCCAGTTTGTCTGAAGCCTTAGAGTAGATTTTCCCAAATTTGAGTCACTTACCTGTCACATTTACCATTTTACTATATCTGAGCACTACCTGGGCAAATTTATTTAGTAATTTTCTTAAAATAAAATCTTAAGTAAATTTCTTTTAAAGAGAAACTTTTATAACTAATGAAAAATGAAAACTTTTCACTTGTAATCTGCGTTTAAGTAAATGTATCTATTCAAATGTATACCATCTAAAATGATCATGCATACCACCAGTGGTATGCAGACTGTGGTGTGCTGGTAAACTGGGTCTTGGAAAAAAAGAGCCCTGATTTGCAGAATTTGTTGATTTCTCTGGTTTAAATACTCCCACCTTGTCTATTTTTAAGCTGCCAATGGATTAACAATCATGCTTGCAAAATTCCTGAATATTTAACAATTGGCTCCTGCAAGCCAGTACAAGCTGGGTCCAGCACACCACTGTGTATATACTACATTTTGGAAAGCATAGTGTTAGAGATAATCTGTTCAAAATTCAAATCAATTTTATTTATTTCAGCCTTTGACATGGTTCATGATCCAATGGCAGCTCTAGAGACCCTCTTAACTTTGGGATTTGAACGAGTATTGACCAGTGGATGTGACAGTTCAGCACTAGAAGGGTTACCCCTAATAAAGCGACTCATAGATCAGGTACACACAATTTCTTTTCTTTCTTTCTAAGACTGTTGTGGTTACTCCTGATATTCTGTTGTTCAGCTAGGTTGTGAAACTAAATGTTACTGACTTTGTGGTTCCTCCATAGGAAGAAGCAAGCAGGCAGTAATATATTTATATAATTCTTATTTCTTTCACGTGAGCATTTTTAGTAACCAAGGCTGTTAAGATCAGATTATAGGCAATGCCTAAGGATCTGATCTAATTTGGATAGCCATAGGAAATTTTACCTTTTCTCTGCTGTCAGCATTGCATAGTTTTAAGCCATATCTTCTCACTGTCAGCCTATGTGTACTCAGGGGATCCCATATAAAATTTGAGATATTTATCATTTGGAGGTGAATTCTAAAACTAAGACTATATTCTTCTTTCATCTCTCCCCATCTGTCAAGATAGGAAATATACTTTTCTATTGTATGATTTCCCCTGGTGAGTTAGCGTCATTTGTAGAGCAGTCAGAAGATGACTTTGTAGTTGTAATATGTCCGTGTTTTCCTGACACCAGTCCAGAGGCATTCTAAGTTAGTGAGTATGGACTTTTTGATGAGAGAGTTCTGGATTTGAGACTCAGGTTTGACACTTATTTGCTGTGTATGTTGGAGTAGATTACCCACCTTTAAGCCTCTGTTTCCTCTTGTGTGAAATTAAGATAAGTTTAATACTTTCTTTATAGGGTTGCTCTGAATAAAATATGCAAGAGCCTTAGCATAGTGCTTGACATATAATAGATCTTAATACATGTTAGTTTCTAGTTTTATTATTACTGCTATTATTAATAATATTATTTAGTGTTCCTGCGTAGACGTCTGCTTATATTCACCTTTCTATAGTCATGAAAATAGTTTTCAGAAATTTCACATAAGGATCTGCTGTGACTTTGCTAGTCTAGAACTTACTGATTTTACAAATATTTATTAAGCATATATTAGATGCAGGGAATTTGTACTATGGTGGTGACCAAGAGGCATGCATGTGTGTGTGTATGTGTATGTAGTCACTGCCCTTACAATCTAGTGCATAATAGGCACTTTTGATAGAGTAGGCAATTTTATAGAGTGCTATTAAAAAAAGGTACTATGGGAACACATTGGAAAGGAATGAACCCCAGATTTGAGGGATGAGGGTTGACAGTAGTTAGCTACCCAGAAGAAAAGACATCCACACTGCAATGTCTTAGTCATTTGAAGGTTGATTAGGAGTCACCATGTAAAAGGTGGGGGAGGAGAGGGAGAGTGGGAGAATGCTCCATGTAGACAAAATAGTATATGCAAAGGCCTGGAAACAAAAGCAAGCATAGCTTATTAAGATATTGAAGAATGACTATAGTGTTGAATGTGAAGAGAAGAATACTGTCCAGAGACTTGAAAACCGTTTAAGAGTTTTTATTTTATTGTTGGTACACTGGGGAAGCCTGAAGTGTTTTTTTTTTTTTTATTTTATAATTTTATTCCCCCAAAGCCCCAGTGGATAGTTGTATGTCATAGTTGTACATCCTTCTAGTTGCTGTATGTGGGACACGGCTTCAGCATGGCTGGAGAAGCGGTGCGTTGGTGTGCGCCCGGGATCCGAACCCGGGCCACCAGCAGCGGAGCGCGCGCGCTTAACCACTAAGCCACGGGGCCGGCCCTGAAGTGTTTTAAAATAGAAGAGTTGATGAATCAGGTTTCTATTTCAAAATTATTACTCACTATGGAGTAGAGAATAATTGCCATCGTCATGTATTGCATTTCAAAATACCTGTGTGTGTGTCAGAGAGATTTGTAGTTTAATCATTGGCAGGAAGAGCTGGGTTAAATATTCTCATACGCTAACTTTACTTTTTTAAAAATTAAAAATTATATGTATTTAAGGTATACAACAGGGTGTTTTGATATGCATCTACATAATGAAATGGTTGCAGTCAAGCTCTTATCCATCTGTGCATATAGTTACTGTGGGAGATCAGAATTGGCTGCCTCAAAATATGTCTCTTTACCTTGATTATTTTCTCTGAAAGAAACTTTGACCTCCCCTGACCCCCCGCCAACCTTGCCGCTAACTGCCTAAAAGAATTTAACTCTGGGTATGGATAGACTGGGAGGGTCCTTCCTAAGCCCATTCCAAGTAAAAGTAGAAGTTAACCTTTGTAAGAGACATTTACGTTTATAAGGGAAATCTCCATTTGTAAAGGTATCTCCCTCTCTATACCAGGAAGAAGGGGGAATGACCTTATCTCTAGAAACTCTTATCAGTTCAGAAGGTAAGGACTTAAATCTACATGCTCTTGTTTACTGTGCTTTCTGGTAATCTCCCATAGCTGACTGCCTCTACCCCCAACATCCTCCTTTGTCTTTACCTGAATCTATTTAAAAAGAGGACCTCTGCCATTTTGTTGAGATACTCAGTTTTCCTGGGTCTCTCCCATGTATACATGTTATAAAGCTTTGTTTGATTTTCTCCTGCTATTCAGTGTCATGTCAGTTTAATTTGTAGCCCAGCCAGAAACGATCAGAGTGGGTAGAGGATAGTCTTCCTCCCTTTCATTACCTTATGTATGTGTATGTGTGTATGTGTGGTGAGAGCATCTGAAATCTACTCTCTGCAAATTTTCAGTATTCAATACAGTATTATTAACTGTCGTCATCTCGCTAAACATTAGATCTCTAGACTTATTCATCCTACGTAACTGCAACTTTGTACCCTTTGACCAACATCTCTCCGTTTCCTCCACCTCCCTGCTCCTGGTAACCACCGTTCTACTCTCTACTTCTATGTATTTGACTTTTGTAGATTCCACATATAAGTGAGATCATGCTAACTTTACTTCTTGAAGCAATTACCAATTACCTAGCAGTATAATATACTGGTTAAAGCATAGGTTTTGGGATTAGAAAGGTCTGTATTTAAATCCTGGCTTTGCCATTTATTAACAATGACCTTGGGCCATTTACCTAACCATCCTAAACTTTAGTTTCTTCCTCTACAAAGTTAGCATAATAATAGCACCTACTTCCTAGAATAGTTATGGATTACTTCAGAGAATAGCACAAAGAGTGACACTTAGCAAGTGCTTTATATTGTTAAATCACTTTGATAGCCTTAGGTAACACATAGTTCTAAATAATCTTTTATGGAAGGCCCCCCCAAAAAAGTGATAGAATTCGTCTCTTTAAAAATATCATTTGTCCATGTTTTAGAAAGCTTTCACTTGGAAGAAACAGTTAAATGTGACTTTTTTTCCCTCCTAAAATCATTTCAGCTTTCTAGATAGTAAATATTTTGTTTTATGGATACTTTGCTTTAGTACGTTTGAGAATACTAAACAACCTTGTTCCACTTATTTCTCTAACAATTATTAAATTTTATGAAATAGCCCCCTCCCTGTTTTACTCTCTATTTCATTACCTTGCTTTATTTTTTTATATTGTACTTATTACTACTTGAAATTTTATTATATAAATATATCTGTCTGTTGTCTGTCTTCCTTGAACATGTAAGCTCCATAAGAGCATGAACTTTTTCGTGTTCACCATATCAGGGAGGAAACATTTTTTCTTTACCCTCTTCGGTTCAGTATTTGAGGGCCTATGAATTAAACTGACAAAAGATATATTAACAAGAGAAAAAACAGATTTTAATCACTTATGTATGTATGGGAGCTCACAAAGAAATGTGACTCAAAGAAGTGCTTAGAATTTGGGGCTTATATACCATCTTAATAGTGAAGAGGAGGAGGGAAAAGGGCACTTAGGAACTTAGGAAGGAGAAAGGGCATTTATGGGAAAACAAATGACTTTTTGGAAAAATAAATGGACCATTAGGAGACTAGATGGGAGATAAGATGCTTTTATGACAATGTCTGTTTGGGTGTGGTGCTGATGATGAGTTGCTCCCAGGGAGGGGATTTATGAAAATTGAGTTCTTTTTTAGTTCTTTAGGGAGGCTCTGCTTTTAGGCAGAGAAGGAATTTCAGGAACTCAGATATCTTCAGCTCAAAGTAATTTTTATGCCACAGTGGCATGTTCCGGACCCCTTCAACTACAGTATTTGCTATATACCTATAATAGTGCTTGGTACATGATAGGCACTTAATAACTACTTGTTGGATGGATGGAGGGGTAAGTAAAGTGACATTTAATAAACACTTTCAATTTGATCAGGGTTAAAAAAAATTCATCAGAAGCGGATTCTCTGAAAAATCTACAAAATGGCAGTCTACAGATTTTCACAGAATATATACATGTAATCTTTTTGGTAACTTTGGAGCTACCTTTCCAAAATGATATATAACTCAGCTATCATGAAAAATTGTGACTTCTCAGTGACAAATGTGCCAGAAGATAGGTTTTGACGTCACTTTTGATCATTTTATTGAGTCTCTGTTATTTAAAAACTGGTCTGGGGGTTCTGATTTTACTCAGGATAGAGCACAGTTTGTTGTTGACTCATACGCTATAAAAGAGGTTTTTTTTTACACCTTGATATTGTAATATGCAACTAAACCAATTTTGTAGCAATCTATCATTTTTTCTATGACTGCTCCTTTCGGGTCATTTATCAGTCTCTCCCTTTTTGCACCAGCATGTTATTTCTTACACCCAGTTCCTTTTAACTAAAAAAATTTGGAATCCTTTTCATAGATGATTTCTATAGTATGTCTAGCTCTTTGGAGCTGCTTTAGAGTTTGTTGCTGTTACATAAAGACCTTAAACAAACAATCATATTGAATACTCACTTTAACTTTACACTCATAGTTACTTAGAGCTCGTTAAAATATCTGTAACTTGTCTTAAAAGTAAGGAGAAAAATTGTCTCTCTCTACTCATGACCATCTCTATTCTCTTCCCTACTGTTATTACCTTCCCTTTTCACTGCTTTTATGCTATTGCTGGTTTTGAGACTTTTTGCTTCTCTTCCCTTCTTTGCATTTGTTATTTCTGGAGTTAGCCAATTTTTGCTTTACTCCCTTTTGGTTTCTGTTTTCTCTCCTGTGCTCTTGTATCCTCCTCCTCCTTGTTTACCCTTCTGCCCTTCTTCTCACGTTGGACACGATGCCTCTGTTTCTCTTCTCCTCATTTTCTCCTCCCCACACTAAGCCAATCTTTCAGTTTCCTCATTTGTTCTAACTGGATATGATGTAGAATTAAATATTTTTTCAACATTAATTATATTTATTGAATACATTCATTGAATGTTTCTTTTTTGATGGAAAAAGAAGCTAAGTTATGTGTAGTTCTTGATTGAATTTTTTTCTGTTGTTCAGTAGCACTCAATAGAAGAAAGATTGTATACCCAGCCCTGAGTTGGGTAGAGTGTAGGCTAGTGCATATATAGGCTGAACAGTTGAGACAAATGACTTGGAATTGTATTAGGTGGCAAGATTGGCTGGTCTAGTATTAAAAACTCATCGCAGGGGGCCAGCCCCAGGGCCTAGTGGTTAAGTTCAACATGCTCCACTTTGGTGGCCTGGGTTCAGTTCCCAGGCGTGGACCTACACCACTCATTGGCTGCCATGCTGAGGTGGCAACCCACATACAAAATAGAGGAAGATTGGCACTGATGTTAGTTTGGGGTTAATCTTCCTCAAGCAAAGAGAGGAAGATTGGCAACAGATGTTAGCTCAGGGCCAATCTTCCTCAGCAAAGAAAAACCAACCAACCAACCAAACAAAAACTCATCTCAGGGAATCCACATGTGAAAAAATTCAATTTATGTATAATTTAAATGATTTTATTCTGCAAGTTAATGAGCTTGACATAATATGTAATTTTTATTCTGTCACTGTTACCTACCTGCTACTGGTAGTTCCACTAAGTATGCGTTTGTAATGGGATGGTTTCCTTTTGACTTTCAGTGATACTGAGTATATCACCAAAATTTATTTAGGAAATGTGGAAATGTGATGAAAATTGGAATAAAAGTAAGGAAATTTCAATACCTGTCTTCCAGAATTATCAGAAATTAAATCAATTCATATAGTTTGGTTTTATTACTTAAAACCTAGTTAAATGGGTATATGGTTTTGTTTAATTGGTATAATAAGCTAGGGAATTTAGTTGAGGATACAGAATTTGAGTGTCCAGTAATTTACAATTATGCTATGCTTTTTCTTTTCTGCTGAAATCTTGTTTAAATTCAACTACTTTCCCATTGCATGTGAAGAACTCAGAATTAGTGTTATTTTTCAGTGATGGCTTTTCTTAAGGTGGTGTGATTATTCAGTATTTATATTTATTCTCCTATTTTTTGTGTTCATAATAGTACAAGTCTTTAAAGCAATACAGTAAAATAAGCTTTCTGGATAGAAAGTTTTTATGCTGAACATCTTATTTCCCCAAGATCCCAAAGAAATAAAAAAGATCTATTACAAATTAGGCACTAGTAGTAATTTTAAAAATTTAATGTACTTATGTTTCTGTTTTCACTGCCTTATTATCCCGTTTAAGAGAAAGATATTAAAATTTACTTGTTTATTTTTTTCTTTTTTCAGGCAAAAGGCAGGATTGTGGTAATGCCAGGTATTTATTTATCTGTCCATTCACTAATGTAACACTGAACTGTAGTGGAGGAAGAGCAAAGAAGGCAGGACAATATGGGAGAAAGTATTAGTACCGGATGTTCAAAAAGAAGAATATATAATTTGATAAAAATGTTTAAGATTGGGAGATCTGTGCTGGAATTTACAACTTGAGATAAGGAGGAGAACATTTTAGCAGGGATTAGCTCAGAGAGGAGCAAATAAGGAAGAAGACTGGGATTGGAGTTTCTCCATGTTTGCTCTCCCATAGTATAGAATTTTGTGAATGTGGATGTTCATCTCTGGTGAGACACACCAGGTTTGATGCTACTGCTACACTGTGTTAGGGCCAAATGTATTAGTTGTTAATAAAGTGTAAGCAAACGTTTAGGTAATATCCCTGGATAATATTATACTCACTCAGTTCCTGAAAATCTGATGCCCAAATTCTTCCTTGTAGCCATAAGAATAGGGTCATATGCTCCTGATGATAACCATAAGATCAATTAAGTACAAAATGGCTCATTAGAAGTGAACAATTTTTAAAGAATTAGATAAGGCAACCTAGAATCAGACTGAAACAAATATACAGACAATCTTAGTTTTTTTATTATTAAATTTCTCAAACATAAAAAAGTAGAAAATAGCATAATGATACTCATTACTCATTCTTTAGGTTTAAAATTTTGCCACATTTGTCTCATCTTTTTTTATCCGGAGGTATTTTAAAATTAAAGGCATCAGGACGTTTTATCTTTATGTATCCCTAAAAAAATAAGGGCATTTTACTATAACCACAATACCGTTATCACATTTATCCAAATGAACATTAATTCCTTAATACCATTTAATGCTCAGTCAATACTCACTCTAGTTGTCCCCAGAATGTTTTTTATGGCTGATATGTTCAAGTCAGGATCCAGTCAAGGAACAAGTATTACACTTGGTTGTTATCTTAGTATCTTTGAATATAGAAATTTTCCTTTTCTTTTTCTACTTTTTTTTAAAAAATGACATTTAAAAAGTTTGAGCCACTTACCCTCTAAAATGTCCTACTTTCTGGATTTATCAGATTGTTTCCTTTTGATATTGTTTAGCTTGTGTTTCCTAGCCTCTGTATTTCTTATAAGCAAGTAGTTGGCACATAAGGCTTGTTTATATTCCAGTTAAATTTTTTTGGTCAGAGTACTTCATGAGTGATTCTGTGTACTTCATATTACATCACATCAGAAGGCATACAATGTCTGATTGTCTCACAACCAGTGATGCCAAGACTGACCAGAGGTTAAAATGGTGATAGCCAGATGAAGACCAACTTTTAAAAAGAGGCCAGGTAGAGGGATAGTGTCAGAAATTTAGGAAAGCTTTGACCTGTGGCAAGTCCCTGAAACATGAACAGATACAAAGTGTATGTTATCTGTCAAATTGATACCCTTTATAGCTTAATCAGGGAATGTTAAAGAGACTTAATTGAATCTGATGTGTGTTTGTTTAAGACTAAATGTATTTAATCTTGACAACTAATACCAAAACTTAGACAGTCGTTAATATTAAGGTTGCCTTTGCTTAATATGTAGTTATTAAGTTATCTGCTATGTGCAAGGCGGTAGTTACTGGGTATGCAGAGTTACATAAGAAACTACTTCCTCAGAAGGCTTACAGTTTTAGGTAAGAAGATGTTATATACAAAAATATTTATGATTATTTAACAAACCTTACCAAGCAAATGCTAGGTTCTGTGGTAGATGTGAAAACATGAGACATGAATGTGAAGTAGTCTGTCTACTTGAAATCACAGAATAGATCTATAAACAAATTATTACAATTTCGTGTAAATAAGTACCAGCAAGTAAAAATTCCTAAGTAAGTCAACCTGAATGTCTAATGAGTATTCATCATTGGGAAATATAAAGATAAATAGAACATAGTAGTTTCCTTCTAGGGACTTTCATAATGAAGCTTACAACATATTTAGGCTCCAGTTTCCTCATCTATAAAGAGAGGATATTGAACTAGTTGTTTTTCAGGTCCCTACTATAAAAGATGTATTAGTCTGTGTTATGTCCTAAAGTTGCTCATAACTGAGCAACATGTGTTTCAGTGGCCAGATATTTTGTAATTTGTTAGAAGAACATAACATATTTATCTTTTAATCCTTACAACGAGCTCGTGAGGTAGGCAATATTATCCTTCTTTGGTCAAAAATATTGAGGCTTAGCGAATTTAAGTAATTTATCTAAGATCACATAGCTGTGAAGAGCTACGGTAGTGAAACCAGGATTCCCATCTAAATCTGACTTCTCAGTCTATGTTCTTTCTTCTTCTTAGGGCTCAGTGATATTACTGTACCGCTAAGGAAAAAAAAAACCAAGTTAATGAGTCAAGGAAAAAAAAAAACAAGTTAATGAGTCTGAAAGAATATATAAAGTCAAGTTACTTCAGCAACTTGAATACTTGAGATACAAAGTACATATTTTATCAGTTGAGAAAAACTATTTATTGAATACATCTTGTATACTAGGAGAGAAGGATAGAAAGATGAATAAACTAATTTTATGTTTATAATCTGATATGAGTTCAGGATATGATTCTTTATACAAATATTTAAGAGATTTTTCACCAAAACAAATGAGTCATCGTGAAGTTCTTGATTGTGCAGTTTTAATAAAATAGAATCAGATTCGTCTGTGAAATGAAAAAAAAATTGATATTATAATGAATAAACTGTATAACGCTTTGCGTTTTTCTCATTTCCAGTGAAGTCCCTGTACTCATTGAATCCTGGGCCAGAGAGAGAACCTTGGAGTTTCTCTCTTTTGACACATCTCTGAGGCTGTGCTTTTGTAGCTTCTACCTCAAGCCTTTTCTTACCTTTCGTTTTAATCTGACTTTGCTTTAATTGAGGGGGAGCAGGGCTAGAGCACTCAATGATTTTCCTTGCCCTAGAGTAATCTCTTCAGATTTAAAGTCAGTAATGTATAGCATTGTTATATAAACCAATGGACATAAAAGATTCCATAATATAGGTTCTATGACCTTATCATTTGTTCTCCAGAGTCTGTAGTCTTGTCTTGCATCTTTCTTTTCTAGTCTCATTCTAGCTTAGTAGGGAGAGAGTAATTCTTGAATCAATGAGAAATTTCAGTATGGGGATTCTAGGAAGAGCAAGCAGTTATTACTCATTAAATTTTATGCAAAAACCTATTCTGCTTCATGTATTACTTATTCTTTGCAACAGGCGGTGGCATAACAGAAAGAAATCTGCAAAGGATCCTTGAGGGATCAGGTGCTACAGAATTCCACTGTTCTGCTCGGTCTGCTAGAGATTCAGGAATGAAGTTTCGGTAAAAATGTATTCTTTGACTCATACAAAAAGGGATGAGATTAATCTTTACTTCCCCAATAGGAAAACCTTCGTTGATGGCATGATTAATGAATGGAATGTTGTGATTAGTATGTAAGTATTGTAGTCATTTTTGCAGTTTTTCAACTGCAAAATGATCCTTATCCTGCCTTAAATAAGCAGGGTCTTCTGAACACAGTGAATCTTTATATCCTTAAGGCATTGCTGAACTTAGACCAGTTAATAATAAACTCTGATTCAGCAGCTAATCTTCAAATGAGTCAGATATGTATATGTGCCCATTCACCTGTGATTTCCTTTAGTGAAGTTAATAACTACGGTGTAAGGATGGAAGAGTCATAGTCATTTTTATTTCTCCTACCTTTAATACTTAGTCTGTCTTCCCTCACCTTTGCTCTCTATTTTCAGTTATTTTGAAATTATATCACCATTAAGGAATTGAAACTATTATGTGTTTTTTATTATACTTGAGAGGACTTCTATAATTTAGTAGTTAGTAATTATTTCTGTTTGTAAGTTGGGAAAAATGAGATGTAAAAGAAGCAAGAGCCTTAGAACTTACATTTCCAGATATAAAATCAAGTATACTGTCTGGAAGATTCAGCTACTAAATGTTTCAAGTAATTAATTAATTAAAGTGATGAAATATGGTAGTCCAGGGTTCTTGACCTGCCCTTGTTCTTGAGCCATGAAATAGCCTGTAAAATGAAGTGCTAGTAGGAGGGCTCATTTAACAATTCATGTAATTATCTGTTCCTTTATTATTTCTATTGCAGAAATTCCTCTGTTGCCATGGGAGCCTCTCTTTCTAGCTCAGAATATTCTCTAAAGGTAACAGATGTGACCCAAGTAAGAACTTTGAATGCTATTGCAAAGAATATTCTGGTTTAGCCACCTCTCTGAGAGACATGGATATCACAGGATAAAGGTAGAAGAGTAGTCTACAATTCTCTATGATACAGCTTTAACCTTCTTCTCTGGCCAGGGCAGTCACAATCTTTGTTTTAAGTCTCACATGGCCATGGAGAATGTTTCCAAGAAGAAAAAGAACTTGAAACAGAGCTACAGTCACTTCCTTTGCTTAATCTTGCCAGCCGTCTCTCCATCACATCATGGTTAAATCTTGTCTATGTGTCTTCCACAGATAGAGGCTTAATCTGTTTTAGTGGAATTAATTGATGAACTGGGAAAATTCAGCTGCAAGGTATGAATTCAGATGTGACTTCATGTCAATTCAATAGCAGTGTTTTGCTTTTTCATTTGTAAAATAAAAGTTTCCATTCTATTATGGTAGAGTCTCTTATTCTTACCCTGAATACAGTCTGTAGCCAAGTATGAATGGGAAGATTTTTTTTTCTTTCATTTTCTCTTTTTATTATGTACTCTTTAGATATATTGCCCAGGGCAAGATGCTAACAATATAGAGTAAAATGGTACAGCATAAAAATTCCTAGACTTGGGAAACAGATTATAAATGTTCCCAGACTTTTAAAGGCAGAAGTGATCTCTTGTGTTCACCAGGTTAATTCTACCTCTGTTCCCATATAGAGAAATGATTTAACCATAAGGTTCATCTGACAATTTACCAAGAACTATAGTAAGAATTGGAGAGGTTAGGGAAGTTATCAAAATAACTATTTCTTTCAACTGAGGCCACAGATAGGGGAGAATGGATTCTAGTGATGAAAGATGCTTTTTCTATGAGCAGGTCCCAAATGGTGAAGTTCATCACTAGCTTTATCTGTCACTTTCATATTAATGACCTCATTTTATACAGATACCACTCTGATAATAGAACTGTTGTTTCCTTATTAGGAGAGTAACTGAAGCATAATAAAAAGAGCTTGCCTTTGGTCAGGAAGCTAGTTAATGGAGCCTGTATGAATAGCATGCACAGATGTGGGTACTAATGAATGTATACACCAAGAAAGAGCCTTGCCCTTATTTTAATGTGTCCCTTTCCTTGACTTTAAATCTTAGCCTTTTTCCTCATTTTTTCAGGTACAATTTCAATGGAGAATATTTGGCAGGTATTTTATGAGAAACGAGAGGCAAACTATTTAAAAACCAACAATAACCTCAGTGGTTTCTTTTCTTGCTTGTTCAGACTATTACTAAAGATAATAAATATTTCAAAAAGATAGCTTTCATTATTGGCTTTGGAATATAGATACAGATATGTAAGTATCACATACACATGCACACATAATCTTAATTAGTATTTTGGCCTAACCCTCCCCCATGCTTGGACTTCATTGTATGAGTCTCCAGAGACAAGAGGAGGCTGTGTTATCATCTCTATTTTACTTAAACAGATTAACTAGGGATCTGAGAGGTGGTGTGAATTGCTCAAAGTTTAACAACAAATTAATGTTGTTTATGAGACTTGAATGCTAGCCTACTAACCTCCAAGTCTTTTGCTTTAAGATGCTTCTGGTATGTGGATGTAGTACAGAGAGCAATACTCCTGGGGACATCAGACACAACTGGAATCATATCCTGGCTTCCAGTTTAAATTAACTTAATTTCTTGAACTTAATTCCCTCATTTGTAAATCAGGAATAATAACTGAACCGTGGTTTCTGGTTAAATGATATATTAAAGCAGCAAGTACATAGTAAGTACCCATTAAATGTTAGTTCTTTTCTTCCACGTTAGCTTTCTAATTCAGTCTTTGATAGTTTAAGTCCAACCCAGGAAGCCAGGCATTGAGTATTGAAGCCTACACTTTGTGCCCTTCACTATGTGAATATACAAAAGAAGCGTAAGGCAATCCCTACTTTGATTTTATTTTTCTATACTTTAGTCCTATTTTAACATATTTACTCATTATTTCATGTGCATAAGTTTCTTCTCAACAATATTATAAGTATTTTTAGGCTAGGGGACCATGTCTTGATATTTTTATATATTTCTTATTACATCTATCAAATTGTATACTTATAGCATCGATTACTTTGCTAGTGGAAAAAGAGCGCTGGATTGGACCAGTAGGTCCTGACTACACTGACTTTCGTAACTATACTGGATATTTTCTGTTTGGCCCCTCCAGATCCTCTCTTCACTTTGTTCTATAAACTGAATCCAGCAACATAAAAGAGATTATATACTATGATCAAGTAGGATTTATACCAGGAATGCAAGGCTGCTTTAATATCCAAAAATCAATGTAACACACCATGTTGATAAAATATAAAAATCACATGATCATCTCAACAAAGAAAAAGCATTTGACAAAATCTAACACCCTTTAATAATAAAAACACTCAGCAAACTTGGAATAGAAAGAAACTTCCTCAGTGTGATAAAGAGCATCTATAAAAAAACAAAACACACTGCTAACATCATACTTAATACTTTCTCCCTAAGATCAGGAACAAGACAAGATGTCCACTTACCACTTCTACTCAACTTTGTACTGAAGGTTCTAGCCAGGGCAATTAGGTAAGAAAAAGACATAAAAAAGCATCCAGATTGGAAAAGAAGAAATAAAACACTCTATTTGCAGTTGACATGACTTGTATATAGATAATTCTGAGGAATCCACACACAAAAAAAACTAAACAAGTTCAGCGAGGTTCTAGGATATAAAATCAACATACAAAAGCAATTGCAGTGCTATACTAGTAAGTAACAATCCTAAAATGAGTTAAGAAAACAATTCCATTGATGATAGCATCACAAAGGATAAAATGCTTAGGAATACATTTAACCAAAGAAGTGCAAGACTGAACACTGAAAACTGCAAAGCATTGTTGAAGGAAATTTAAAAACACCTAACAATAGATAAATAAATGGAAAGACAGTTCATGTTCATAGATTGGTAGACTTAATATTATTAAGATAGCAATATTCTCCTATGGGTCTACGGATTCAATGCAGTCACTATCAAAATCCCAGTTGTCTTTTTTGCAGAAATTGACAAGTTGACCCTCAAGTTCATCTGGAAATGCAAGAGACCGAGAATAGCCCAACAGTCTTGAAAAAGAGCAAAATTGGACTCACATTTCTCAATTTCAAAACTTACTACAAAGCTACAGTAATCAAGACAATGTGGTACTGGCATAAAGATGAATATATATAGCAATATATTCAACTGCATATGAATATATATGCAATTCTCAATGCAATAGAATTGAGGGTCCAGAAATAAACCCTTATATTATAGTCAGTTGATTCTTGACAAGGGTGCTAAGATAATTCACTGGGAAAAGAGTAGTTTTTTAATAAATGGTGCTGGACAACTGGATATCCACATGTGAAAGAATGAAGTTGGACCTTACATCATGTACAAAAATTAAATGGATCATAGACCTAAATAAAACTAAAACATAAAACTCTTAGAAGAAAATAGGAGTAAATCTTCATGACTTTGGGTTAGGCAAAGCCTCAGGTATGACACCAAAAGCACAAGTGACAAAAGAAAAAATGGGTAAATTAGACTTTGTCAAAATTGAAAACCTATGCTTCAAAGGATAACATCAAGAAAGTGAAAAGACAACCCACAGAATGGGAGAAAATATTTGCAAATCGTATGTCTGATTAGGAAGCTTGTATCCAGAATATATAAAAGGAATACTTAGAACTCAACAATAAAAAGACAACCCAGTTTTAAAATGGGCAAAGGATTTGAGTAGACATTTCTCCAAAGAAGGTATACAGTTGGCCAACAGCACATGAAAAGATGCTCGGTAACATTAGTCATTAGGGAAATGCAAATGAAAACCCCACTGAGATACCACTTCATATCCACTAAGATGACTATAACCCAAAAGACTGACCATACTGAGTGTTGGCAAGGATGTGGAGCAACCAAAACTTTGATATACTGCTAGTGGGAATGTAAAATGGTGGAGTTGCTTTGTAAAATAGTCTGGGAGTTTCTCAAATGTCAAACACAGAGTTGCTATATGATCAAGCAATTCCACTCCTAGGTATATACCCAAGAGAACTGAAAATATGTGTCCACACAAAAACTTATACACCAATGTTTGTAGCAACATTATTTATCTTTTAGAATTAGAGAATAACCTTTTTGCAACCCCTAATGAAATAAATCAGTCAAAGATCATTAATGCTAAAACCATTAGATAACAGATTGATTGGGAGCTGAGTATCCACATGGTGCCAAAGCATCATCCTGTAGGTTATTCACTAATCATTAATGTGGAAATTTGATGTTATAATGCAGCCATCTGGTTGTTACCACCTTAACCCAGTAATCAAACTTAATATTACTAGCAGTGGAAGCGTATACTGCTGAAGGACAGGATATGAGAGGGGAAGAGGTCAGCCAGAGGCCGTAACCGTGTTAGGAAATTGCAATTTGGAGGTTGCTAATGTGCCTCGAGGAAGAGCTAGGAGTTGATTTTTTTTTTTTTGGTGAGGAAGATCAGCCCTGAGTTAACATCCATGCCAATCCTCCTCTTTTTGCTGAGGAAGACTGGCCCTGGGCTAACATCTGTGCTGATCTTCATCCACTTTATATGGGACGCCGCCACAGCATGGCCTGACAAATGGTGCATCGGTGCGTGCCCGGGATCCGAACCGGGGCCGCCAGCAGTGGAGCACGCGCATTTAACTGCTACGCCATGGGGCCGGCCCCTAGAGCTAGGAGTTGAAATACCTGGAAAGCTGCTGTAACGAAGTGTGATGGTTAGCTATTGATCAAGCAAGAGTAAACTACAAACAACACCAGCTCATAGGGTGACCAACCATCCCAGTTTGCTTAAAACTTTTCCAATTTTAGCATTGAAAGTCCCACATCCTAGGAAATTCCTCAGTGCCTGGCAAACTGGGAAAATTTGGTCATCCTACCAGCTCAGTAAAATTAGCTTTGCCTCTTTTCCTCTGGTCCTCACCTCCCTGCCCCTATCCTGGAATTGGGGGAGGGGAGAGATGTTGAGTAACAAGAAAAAATGATATAAGCAATGACACTTCCCTCCCCAGCGGTAGTGGTCCATGAGCCAAGAAAGGGGAGGGGCTTTAAATTGGATGTAAGTTTCTTTTGTGGATGATGAAAATGTTCCAAAATTTATTGTAGTGATGGTTGCACAACTCTGAATATGCTAAAAACCATTGGATGGTACACTTTAAGTGGGTGAATTTTATGTAATTTATGTCTCAATAAAGCTGTTTTTTGTAAAAAAATGAATGTGAGAGAGTTTTATATTAAATTAGATTAGGCTGGACCTTTTAATACCTGAAAGAGACCAAAAGGCTATAGAATCTGCTTGAGATGTGGTAAGGGCAAGGAAGGGAGTTTGATATAGCATGGTTGAAGACAATAGTAGAAGCAAAATATTTTTTATTTGTTTTCTATTTAGATTACTTCTCTCAATAAGTTGGCTACACTAGTTTGAATGGATTTTTGTTCCTTGCAATCAAGAGTTGTGACTAAGACACCTGAAGAATATTCATTCCATCTTGCATGTACAGATACTAAATACTAATCCTCGGGTAAAATCACAAATAGTTGTATGTTTCGATTTCATTGCTCTGTTCCCTCATAGAATTAAAAAAAAAATCAAACCGTGCTGGCATTTTGCCACTGGTCTATATTGGAGATGTAATAGAAAACAGTTGTATTCAATATTTATATCAGTGTATTATTGAGGTCCTAGAGGAGACTTTTTTTTATCTTAAGTGTTAGTCTGAGGAGTAGCTGGGCTTCTGAACAATTAATATGTTTGTATTTTATATATATGGAATTACATCATTATCAAGACTTTTTTTTTTTTTGTCTGCCTAGTTATTTTCCTTTCTGAAGCTGCCCCTGAAAAATATTGCTTTTCTGATGAGATTGTCAATCATATAGCTTCACTTCCCCTGCCCATGGGACAGGGCACATGACCCAGACTAGCCAGTTAGAATGCCTCATTCCTTTGTCCACATTGTTTGGTCCAGAGATGGGAACACAACACAAACAGGGCCATTCACAATCCAACCAAAGATTTTTTCTGGAGCTCTCAGAAAAGAAACTCTCTCTTTTCACTAGGATACTGGCCATAAGAACCATGTAAGCCTAGAGCTTTTGAAGCCATCATTGCCAGCAAGTGAAAAGAGCTACTTGAGAATGAAACCAACACAGAGGTAACCATCCTGAGGACATTGTTTGAGTCTCTAGACCCATCTGTGCCTAAAGCTAGTTCCATTTGTGGACTTTTCTATTAAAGAGCCAATAAATTTCTTTTTTTGTTGCTTATGCCGACTTGATTTGGATCTCTCACTTGCAATCAAAAGAGGCTTGACACAGTTAATGATTAAGTTTTTCTCCTTTCATTGACAGATAGGAATCTCAGAGTCAAATTTGCATCCCACGTGTAGCAAATGGACAGGGTCATACTGAATGAATTTTGTGCACTTGTCCCTTGTTTCATCTTTTTGTATCCCTTTTATTCTTCACTCATATTTTATCTTGTTATATTTTATGTGTTTTTGTAAGCCCCTTCAAATCCTTTTTATCATAAGGCACCTAAATAGTAGACATTGTTTCCCATATTATCCTGAATCTGGACTGGAACAAAACCAAGAGTTTATTCCTAGTGCACATCATTGGTTCCTACCCAAACGTCATTTCTCCTTCTTCTCCCAACTCTGATTTTGTTGTATAAATCACATTCCATGTAGCCCATGTGCTTTAGGGAATGCTGACCTTACCCACAGCTTCAGGGATGGGCCTGAGCAATCTAAGGGTAACCTTATTCTCTTTGTCAGGAATTGATTCGGTAATTTGGGCCATTGAAATGCCAGGAGAAGTTTGCTGGTGGCTTTTATTTGTAGGATAATTCTGAGAATGACCCTTTCTCTCTTTTGCTATATGTTTTGATGTGTGGATATGAGTCCTGAAACTGTTGCTGCCATCTCACCACTTGTTTGAGAATAAAACATGCCAAAAGAGAGCAAAGACAAAAAAATGAGAGAGAAATGGAGCATAGCCATTGGAATAAATCAATCCTGAGAACTGTGCTATCTCTGGGTTTTTGGTTATCTGAACCAATAAATATTTTCATTCAAGCCACTCTAAGTTGAGTATACCCTTTATAAGGATCCTGATGTAATTGGACAATGAGATTTTGGCAATGATTTTTTGGATTTGACACCAAAGCAAAGGCAACAAAAGAAAAAATAAACAAATGGGACTAAATCAAACTAAAAAGCTTCTGTACAGCAAAGAAAACCATCAACAAAATGAAGTGGCAACCTATGGAATGGGAGAAAATATTTGCAAATCATATATCTGTTAAGGGGTTAATACCCCAAATATATAAAGAACTCATACAACTCAATAGCAAAAAACCAACAGTCTGATTAAAAAATGGATAGAGGCTCTGAATAGACAGTTTTGCAAAGACATACAAGTGGGCAACAGGTACATTTCATGGGGAACCAGTATGCTCAACATCAGTAATCATCAGGGAAATGCAAATCAAAACCACAATGAGATATTACCACATACCTGTTAGAACGGCTAATCAAAAAAGCAAGAATAAGTGTTGGCAAGGATGTGGAGATAAGAGAACCCTTGCGCGCTATTGGTGGGAATGTAAATTGGTGCAGCTACTATGGAAAACAATATGGAGGTTCCTCAAAAAATTAAAAATGGAACTACCACGTTATCCAGGAATTCTACTTCTGGGTATTTATCTGAAGAAAAGAAAAAAAAAACACTAACTCAAAAAGATATCTGCATCCCCATGATCATTGCAGCATTACTTATAATAGCCAGGGTATGGAAACAACCTAAGTATCCATTGATGGATGAATGGATAAAGAAAATGTGGTATATATATATATACAATGTAATATTATTCAGCCATAAAAAAGATAGAAATCTTGCCATTTGGAACAACATGAATGGACCTTGAGGGCATTATGCTAAGTGAAATAAGTCAGACAGCGAAAGACAAATACTGTATGATCTGACTTATATCTAGAATCTAAAAAAAAAAACAACTTGTAGGATCCCAAAAAGGAAACCCCAACTCCAGCCTCGGGAAGGTGCGGACCCACAGACACAGAAGACCGAGCT